AAGTGGTATTGTTAGAAGCCCTGGACTATTGTATTGGTATTGTGGAGAAACCAGAATGTTAATTTGAAGTTTGGAACCGGATTATGGGATCCATATAAGTTTTACATATTTGAGAATATTTTGAACCAATTGAATTCTGGACTGAGACAAATTATATCTGTATAAGAGGCAAGTTGAGGCCATGTAAGTTTGGTAGTACTTTGGAATTTTAGTAATTGGTTAGTGAATTTTATATTGAGGATGTTGGCTGTGTTAATTGCTGTTTTTTTGAGTTGAAATTGAAGAGAAAAGAATAGAAAACCAATTAAGTTTTCAGCATTGTTGAAATGGAAAGGGCACTCTGTTGAACATATTTGAATTTTAAAGTCTTTGGCTGTTTTTGCTGTATAGAGAATTCAGTTGTCTTGTTCGAACTTTTCAGAATTGCAAATTGGACAGAACCAAATTGCTTCTTTTGCTTGAATAGATCAGATGTTTTGTATTATATATTGTCTGATGAATAAAATAGAAAGTTTGGATATCAGATTACCTATAAGTATAATTTTTTGCCTTTCTTCAAGAACTGATAGGTTAAGGCCACTATGGCTTGTCAGAATTATAAATGTTTCCTTATTACCATAAAAGGAACTTTGATTGACAATACGATTCCGAATTAAATACGATTCCCAATTACTTACTAATTGTTACTTAGTAATACGAACATAATATGGTTTTTGAAAAATGTCTGAATTAAATACGAACACATGTATAGTCAGAATTGTATTGGAGCATTTGGAGAAGATTCTGTATACTGATTTTACTAGCTTGTTAATTTTTGTTTGAAGCAATCTGAATGCTAAATTGTTGAGAAATGATAAGAGTAAGAAGTATTCAAATTTCCTTAGAACAATCCAATCACTAATTTGTTGTTTGATTTTTCCTTTCCATTTGTATTTTGAGAGTTCATTGATAATTTGTAATAATGTTTGAATAAATACTTTTCTGTTGCACCTGAGTAAGTTTCTGGTTGAAATTAGTATTCCAAGGTATTTAACACTTTCGTAAGATTTAAGGACCCGAATTTGATAATTGTCAAATTTTATGATGTTTTGTATACCTTGTCTGACTTTGATGTTGTTTATGATTTTGGTTTTGTCTTTGTTACAAGTAATGCTATTTATGGTAAATAATTGATTAGCAGTTTGAAAAAGATTTTCCATTTTTTGTCTAAAGTCTATTATAAGAGCTAGGTTGTCCATGTATGCTAATGTGTTGGGAGTCCTATACCCCTGAACCAGGCAGTATTGAGACAGCTTGATAACTAGGAGGTCATAGAAGATAATCCAAGTAATTGGTGATAGCGTCTCTCCTTGCTCTACTCTATTGTTAACCATGAATGGCTTAGTGGGACCAAATGGTGAGTTGATGAATACTTCTCTTTTGGTTAGGATATTAATAAGAAAATTGATAATTTAATCTGAACACTTAATTTTTTCTAGCAATTTCTTGATTGCTAGTATGGGAGCTAAATCAAATGCTTTGATGATATCAAGAGATGTGAATCAAAATTCTCTGTTGTTGACATTTACAGCTTGAAGGGCTAAATTGACAATTGCAAGTGATTCCATGGTACTCTGTCCAGGAAGATCAGCATAGTTGAATCTTAATAAAATATTGTTTTCCTTAAGAATCTTGGTTAGTTTTTTGTTGACTAGATCTGTGAAAATTTTTCTAAAAGAGTTGACAATAAGATTGGTCTGATATTAGCTAGTTTGTGACTCTAGCCAACCTTTTTTGGGATTAAGATAATAATGATTTGCTTTTATTGTTTGGATATTGAGGTGAATTGTAGGGTATGGTTGAAAATAGCTGTCATGTGGGAAACTGCTTTGCCATCCATCAGTTTGATAATGTCATAGATGATTCTAGATACTCCTGGGGTCTTGTTTCTAGAGAGTTTACAGATGGCTTCTTTAACATTTGATAAATCGAGAGAATTTGAGAGCTCCTTGTATATGCCTTGATTTATTGCCATAGGGAAGTAGGTTTCTTTCCATTCAGGAAAGTTAGAAAGGTTAAAGTTTTTGAATCAAAGAATGTTCTTGAAATAATTGTTAATAGTCTCTTAAATGAGGTGAAATCATACACAAGCTGGTTATTGGAATCATATATTTTATGAAGATCGATTTTAGGCTTGATTGTCCCAAGAGCTTTTTTGACATAACTCTTTAGTTTGCTGTAGAAATTTTCCATCATGTTTTCAAAGTTTAGATAGAACTTTTTGATTTATTCTTGTTGAACTTGAAGTAGGGCTTCCTTAATAAGAAGTTTTTTTAACTTTTGAAGATCCTTGACTGAGATATTGGAGTTATGATTAGCAGTTTCATAGAGAATTAGCAGTTTTTAATCTGATAGAGATGGAGATAGATGTTTGTTTTTGAGTTGTATTATTGCTTTGTTGATTTTCCTGGTTTGTTTCTTGAGTTTCTTTTTTGCATTAGTATGGTAGTCTTTTCATGCAAAGTTAACTTTGGTTTTTTTGATGTATTTGTTAAGAACATTGATACAGATATTATGAAAGCTGTTCCAATTGGATAACGATAGGAGGCTGACCCATTGGTTTAGTTTTTGATAAATTCTAAAATGTTTTCTTTTGAAGTCTTGTTAAGGTCAAATTTGAAGGTGGGTTTAGTTTTTTTGAACTCAAGTGATTAAGTTTTATTAAGACAGCTTGGTGATTAGTTGGAATGGTATTAATCTCTTGTACATCATACCAGACTATTTTGGAAACAAGATTTCTTGAGGCCTAGATTTGGTCTATGCATGAGGCACTAGTTGGAGTGAAGTGAGTAAAAGCTTTCGTATTGCTGCCCAATATCAATGTAGTTATTTAGATGCTTGTATACCAGTTGTTTATATGAAAAGGTTTTGACTCCAATCAATGGACTGTCTTTGGGATAAGAGTTGAAGTCTTCTAGAATTAGGTGGTGTAGTTTGTAATGGAAGGCAAGTTTGATTATTTGATATAGTTGGATAAGAGCCAGGTTTTTTTTTTTTTCTCATGTGGAAGGTATATTACTGTAAGAAATATATTTACTTTCCTTTTAAACTTTAAAATAATTGATGAGCAGTATTTAGAGGTGTTATGGATTTTAAACACATGTGATAAGAAATCTTTATCGATGATTAGTATAGTACTGTTCTTCACTAGATTGGATTTATCATAAATAATAACTCTTTAATTAATGTTTTTTGGATGAAAGTCTTCTTTCTTAAGTTTGGTTTCAGTACATATTAGGATAGATCTACTGTCCACCATATTGGTTAGAGTTCTAAGTTTGATTGAATTATTGAGATCTCTAATATTAATATAACCTATATCTTTTTAATATTATTAAAACTATTTTTATTATTATTATTATACTTGTTAAATTTATAAAAAATTTTAAAAAAACATACTCAAACAAAGTTATAGAATTTAATATTTGTTTTAATATAATTTTTTTTAATTATAAAAATTGAAATTAGTTTATTTTTTTAATTAATTAATATTTAACAATTGTTCAATTAGAATTCATTACATTACTTTAACAAAATAAACAAAACCAGTTTAAACCAGTTTATTAATTTAACAAAAAAAAAAACAATAATAATAATTACAACAACAATCACTAGTTAAAATCCAATTATTTGGCAGTATACCACTTATTAATTATTTAGCATATAATAAATAATTGACAAATAATTGATAAGTGGTATACTGTCAAATAATTGGATTTTAACTAGTAAATATCAATTACTATATTAATAATAATTATAATAAGTAATAATATATATATTATTTATAATAATCAAAAAGTTGACAACAAGCTTGTTTAAAAGTTTTTTTGAAAAAATAATTGATTTTCTACTTATAGATTCTATAATTTATTTTATTTAGTTCTAATTTTAGATACATTTATTTTTTTTTCTTTTTCAATTATTTTACTTACAAGTTTACAAAAAAATTTTATAAAATTTTTTGAATAGATAGATATAATCTCTATTTAGATACAATTAATATATAATATTGTTTTGAATTTTGTTTTCAATATTAGTTAAATATGTATATGTAAAAAAGCTAGCATTTAATTTGTTACTTTTTGTATATAAGAGATGTTGTTTTCTTTATAATATATACCTTATTATATACAAATCAAATAAAAAAAATAATATTTACCTATGAAAAAAATTCCTTAAAAAATTAATTTAATTATATTTCATATTGTTTAATATTGTGTTTAATAAAGTTGATATATTTAATACTTGTCAAAAAAACAAAACCAAAAAAACAAACAAATATTTCATATTATCTATTATATATTAAAGCTATAAGCTAGATAATGTAAATAATTTTTGTAACTATAAATTTAATTTAAATTACAATTACAATTATGATGATTTTTGTAACTATAAATTTAAATTGTAATTATTATTATGATAATATCATTATTTATTTATTATGGTAATATTATTTATTAAATATTTATATTTATCAAATACAAAATTATGTCAAGATTTAATAAATTTAACTTTATAAAATAATAATAATAAATCACACGTTGTTCTATTGTATAGGACTTCTTACTTGCAACTAATCATATAAATATAAGGTGTTTTTTTCCATAAGGATAATATAGATATAGACAAGTAAGTACATATACACATGCAAAAGTATATACAGATAAATGGATAATACAAATTAAACAATCTAATCTTATCTATATTTCACATTTCTCATATCCGATAAATTTCTAGCTGGTGAATTCTCTGCATAGAATCATAGATAAATATTTGTAGATAAGTACACATGTGAAAATATAAATGAATGGGTTGGTCATGTGATTATATACTTAATAACATTAATATATCTGTGGATAATATAGTAATAATGATGCACTTTATGACATTCATATTTTACATAACAAACCAGAAATTTTCATGAAAAAATATTTTATTAAAATTAAATTATTAAATTCTAGATGCCCGAAGCATTGCGAGGGTTACCTGCTAGTTTAATTAATAAACTATAAATGTTGCATTAAAAAAATGCTTATTAAGGTAAAAATTCCCTTTAATACAGTATTAGGAAATTTCCAAAGTTATTACGTGCGTTAATATTTTTAAGCACAATATCTTCCACAATGGTATTTGGAATGATATACGATCGCGTCTTGTCCTTTTATTGCCACAATTAAACGCTTCAAAAAAACAGTATTAAAACTTAGGATGACACGAATAAAGAACTTTACCTAATAGGAATTGAATCTAATTTATCGAAAGTTGACCGCATTCGCAATCAAGGATACTAACAGTTCTGGATTCGATTCCATTCGATTCCTGGTTCAATCTAAATTGCTAAGTGGATCATGACCTGCCATTTAATAATACTCAGAATCCCTTGGCAATCTCGTTTTTCGGAATCCTACTCGTAATCCCAAACCCACTAACCTGAAAATGGGTTACTTCTGATGCTAAGTAAAATTTTTCGTTTAATTAACATTATTTCCTTGAAAATTTATAGGAGAAAAATAACCTTTGATTTACGCATTGTTATGAATAGAACGGGGATATCTACTTATATCTCATTTATATATCCGCTGATGCATAAATTCCACATACTAAATAAATAAAAGAAATTAGAGCTAGTCAAACTTATCGATAATTTGATCATTCAAATGAAAGACTTCTGGTAACTGATGCTGAAACCCGAATCGGATCCAGGTGAAGGCGTCATAAAATAAGAAATAAATTAACATGTATATGCTAATTATAATCATTTCTCGTTCATTTTCTATCCTAAAATTGCATAGCTTAATGTCATATTTCATACTTTCTAAGAATAGCATTATTAGGGCAACCGGTGATCGGTCATACCAATAATCGATACCCTAGATCTATATTTTTAGCTGCCGAAGTACAGAAAAAAGATCTTCCATAATAATAAATATTTTCTTTGTACTTCCTTTTTTATCATAATTACGAAATGCAATATTTTACGTGCTTGTTGCTCATAGAAATTTTTGTATAAATATAACGTGAAACTGAAGAGTTTTTTTTCGTCGTCGGTCGTCGTCAAAAAAATATTTATATAACTAATATTAAAAAAGTTATTTCCCTTCAAATTCAATTAATAGTAATAAAACCTAAACCTTTAATAATTTCAAAAAGTCATCATGAAATTCAATTTGGTCGCCGTATTTTGCTTGTTGGTCTTGGTTGCTTTCGCTAGCGCTCAAATCACCTCTCCCTCTCCCAACCTTCCCGCATCCGCCATTGATTCCGCTATTGATTCCGCCATTGATTCTGCCATTGATACCGCCATTGGTACCGTTACTTCAGGCGCTTCAGGTGCTTCAGGCGCTACTGCCGTTCCTTCCACAGTTTCGGATACCACTTCCCCCACCAGCCCCACGGATGTCCCCGCTGTTTCCACAGGCTCCGTTCCAGTTCTCCCCACTGTTGCTTCCTACACGAGTAGCGGTGCTTGGGCTCCGGCTTCTTCAGGTTCAGGTTCAGGTTCAGGTTCAGCCTCATCTCCAAGCTCAGGTTCATCTTCTAAACCCAGCTCTGCTCCCAGCTCCGATGCTGGAAACGTTCGCGTAAACATCTTCGCTCTTGGAGTCACGTTGATTGCTGGAATGTTATTGTTCTAATCATCTGCGATCTCTATTTTTTTTTTAAAAGAAAAAGAATTGTGAAAACAATGATTTATAAAATAGACTTTTCTTTATTCTTAATCCATAATATGAAGCTACTTAGAGTACATTAATCTGACACTAATTAATCATACGTGAAATGAGACTTGAGGGAATTAAGAAAAAATTACCTTTATCCTATAAAATAAAACGTTGACTCACACCAATCATATCTACATAATTCACTTAATAAAAATTTATCATTCATTCGTTTGACAAAAATAATGTATTTTGATGTTCAAATTAATTACAACTTGAAAAGAATCATTCGAAAAGTCGAAGGATAAAAATCTTAATTTCCAAAATATAATAAACAGTTGTGTGAAAAATTTTCGCGTATCAAATTTAACGCATTCTCACTGTACATTAAGGTAAAGGGGTGTATGAGATTTGACATATTACCAACGCTATTTATTCTATTATTCTTGAAATCGCACCAGACTTGACTTTAAAGATTTTTGAAAATCAATGATTATTTAATAATAATTATTATTATATAATTATAGTTCTTATTATTTTAATATTTAAAAAATTTCCAATCTATTAAATCTATCAAAATAGAATTTTCTTCCAATTTACTTTTTTTCCAAAGGCTCACATTTTAAATAAATGACATACGAAATGATTTGTTATATTTTAAAAAATATATTTATAATATTTATAAATAATCATGTATTGTTTGATTAACAAGAAAAAAAAGTTAATATTAAATTAAATATTATTTTAAGTTATATTATATATTATATATTGTTGTTTGTTTATAAATAATTATAAATAATTAATTAATTTAACCTTATTAATGTTTATAAATTACACCCTATACTCTTTTAATTGATTTATAATATTTCAATTAATTTCAAATGAATTACAAAAAAATCGAATTGATTTTTTTTAAACAATTAATTAATTAACAATGTATAAAACAAAATTTTATTATAAGTTACTTAAAACAAAAAAGTTTTGGAATTCTAGTTAAACTCAAAATCTTTAAATTAATAAATTTGGAAATCTGATTTTAAAATTAAATTTTAATTTTTTTTAATTTAAAAATTATAAGTTTTAAAAAATATTTCAAAACTTTTTATTTTAAATTACTTATAATAAAATTTTATTTTACACATTATTTATTAATTGCTCAAGAAAAAAAATCTTTTAATTATTTAAAATTTATTTAAAATTTTATTAATAATAAGATAAATGTTAATAAATTAACTTTTACTTTGAAATATATTATAAAATCATATAATAATAAATTTAATAAATTAATATAAATTTTTTTTTTTTTAATTTTTTTTAGATAAATTTCAATTCTTTATTATAGTATATAAAAAATATACATTTAATAAAAATTAATATCTCTTAAATTATATGAATTAAATATTGATTTATCAAATTACCCCTTTAAACTATATTAGAACAAAAATTTTAAAATTAATATTTTGTATAGATAGTTGTATAACAAACTATATATATTGTTGAAAGACATATAATAATAAACAAAATAAGAAAATAACTTAATATATATTAATAGTTAATAAACAATTTTTTTATATTATAACTTTGGCTTATGCAGTTATTTTTTTTTTTTTTTTAATCCCGCAATCAAGTTGATGTCGTTTTTTTATTTATTCATAAAGAACCATT